CATGGAAGCTTCATGAAAAGCAGGTAGGATTTCCCAGTTAGTGATAAGAATGTCCAGTTCCAATGTCTTACCATGAGCTTTCCAAAGCTAGGCCAGCAGAATGAAAGCTTGGGCAGGTCTTTTAGAGCTGGTATAACATTCAGTACAGGCCCATTGATTGTCTGTGTGCATGTGTCACAGGGGCTGAAGCTTGGCCAAATACAGAGGATCCAGAGTTGTGATTCTCCTGTACTCATGATCCAGAGTTGTGCTGGCAAATATTTAACAACTGTCTTGGGTGGGGACAGCTGTGCAGAAGATACACTTTTAAGTTTGATCTGCATTATTAATAATTTCTGAAGTCTAAATACTCAACAAAAGAGTAAATCAATCCCTGATTTATGGCATCAAGGCTCCACGGGATAAACGCTCATAGTGGTATAAATGCTCACGCTGAAAATTTAACGATTGGCACGCAACACTTCTATTACCACTTCCCCTCACGCCCTAACAGAGATAGCTCAGGACCCTGAACCCAAGAGATCCAGAAATAACAGCCCCAGAATACCAGCCTTACTTCCAGCTTAACATTTATAGTCGTCACTGAGGTGAGCAATACTGATGAAGAAGAGGCCTATCTTCTTTGCCATCACTAATGCCAACTGTTGACTAATTGCCACTGATACATAGGTAAGTGATGGTCCCCAGGAATGCCAGAGGTCTCCAGACTATCAGCCCTGCTTCTAGACCAGCCCCTGCGGCCAGTATCCATGGAATCAACCCCTCTGGAGACATTGAGATACGGCAACTGCTTTGGGAGGTGTTGACATCCTTACCTCCTCAACAACCACAGCTGGTAAAGAACAGGAAAAGAAAGTTCTCAGCAAAGTCCTTGGCACTGTCAAATAGTTCCCCATTAGAAACAAACAAGACTTCATCAGTGGAAATGACATTAAAGAAGGTGAATTGTCATCTGCTTTGCCACAGAAATGTAAGGGCCATGAGACCTTTACATGTGACTTGAAGTTAGAACCTCCTGTGTATATTGGCTTCCCATTGGGGTGTGAGGTCCTTGAGGGCAGGGATTGTCTCTGCTTTTCGATTTGTGTCACCAGTGTTTTGCATATGACATGGTAGGCATTTAACAAATGCTTTTTCATTAAAAAAAAAAACAATTGGCACCCAAGCTGAGCTGGCTCCAGCATATCACCATTGTGACAAAGGGACTAGCAGACCAAAGGAGGAAGTGAGCTTTGGTTGGCCTCAAGGGCTCATGAACACTGTCCATTAAGATGCAGAAGAACTAAAATCTGTGTCAGAGGAGGGAACGCACACTGGTGAAATCGTAAGTTCGTAGATTTAGAGCCTGAAAGAGCCCCAGTGATCATCTGACCAGTCAACTCTTTCCATTACATTACTCTGCCTTCCCTCCTTGAAGCACTGAGAAGTAGGATCAGAAGCAGTATAGTCCAATGGTTAAGAAGTTAAAGGATCTAGGTTCAAATCCTGCCTCTGACTCCTCCTACCTACCCATATAACCTTGGTCAAGTTTTTCCCTTAACTTCCGTTTCTTTGCCTGTAACATGGGGGAGGGCCCCTGAGGTACTTTCTAGAGATCTAGAAAGACCATAGACTTAAATAGCAAAGCCAGCAATGGACCCCAGGTCCTCTAACTTTTCACTACCCTGGGTTTGAATCCTAACTCTGCTGGCTCTGTGTCTACTTAACGATTGGTAAATCCCTTCCCCTTTCTGGGCCTCAGTTTCCTTTTCTGTAAAATAAGAGAGTGAGACTCTTCAACTACAACAATCCCTTCCACCCTTGGAACAGGTGGAGGGTGTTATAAAGATGACACCAGACTCAGTTCCGGAGACCGGTGTCTCAAAGACTTTTTATTAAAGAGGTTGAAGTGCACCATTTTGATTCTTCTAAGAACAGGGTGCACTTCCTTGGGAGGAGAGAAAATGCACATGGTAAAAGAAGCCAGGGCTTCTTTTTTATAGTTAGTAATTGCCTAACTCCTCCCTTCTGGATCAGGATTGGTCCTAATCCTTCCGGGTTACAATCTTCCTTATATGCCCCACCCCTAACATACATTTTGTGCCTAGAATTGTGTTGTCACTCCCCCGCCCTGGACAGAGAAGTTAGCCTGTCTGTGCTGATTTCTTATCTGCTTATGTGGAAACTTAACTCTTTCATTTCTCACAAAAGGGCATTCCAAGTATAGGAACGAAAATGAGCAAAGCCTGGGAAGGATCCTGCTGAGTCACCACCAAATTTATTTTATTTTATTTTATTTTTGCTAATACTCCACTCCATTTGAACCAATATGTAAAAAAAAAAAGTCTCCATATTATTCCCAAGTACAACTCAAACATGCCTTGGTGCTGTGGAGTCCCAAGAGAGTTAATGGAGGGCTTTCCTCTCGAGTTAAGTAGAAACAGCATTTGCTGTATCATAAAGCAGGTTTTATTTTCTTCAAGAAAGAGAGAGTAATTTCCTTAGCATTAAGATTAAACTTTGACCAGTCTCCGTCTTTGGTCATAAACTGTGAGCAAGACAATTACTGTTTTCCATTTAATAGAGTTTCTAATAATAAAAAAAAAAAGGGGCTGAATTGCTAGGTGAAGCCCAAGTAACACCAGCTACCTCAGCGCAGAGATAACTGCAGTTCAACTAAGCATTCCCATTCCTCCAAACACTCCCAGACTTAAGTATAATGGCTTTTAAGGAATTTATTTTGCCAATTTTAGAATCTACCATAAAGAAGAAATATGACGGAGTTTTATGAGGTGTACTGTATATCTTTAATGCTCATATTTTTTTCTCGAAATGCTGAGGATATCAATTACCTTTATAGCTGGGGGAAGAGCTGCTCCTGATTCACAGTGGGATAAGCAAATCATATTGGTGGGCAAACTTTGATGGGTGCTGGTTCACCCAGTGACAAGCAGAGCCCTCATTCTCAGGAGTTTCTTTCAAGGCTGACTGACCAGGATCTAAGAAACAAGAACCCTCAGCTCCAAATGTCTACAAAGGTGGCTTAAGACAATTTTCAAAGGCTTTGTTTCCATTTCCTTCCTTATTTTGGGAAGTCAAGGTCATAGATGAAATGGAAGGCAGGTCACCCCAGAATCTCTTCAGACTGAGAGAGAACCTGACCTTGGAAGGCTCCCACAATGACCGCTGGGATCACAGAAGACAGCCTGGTGCAATGACAAAAACAATAGCTTTAGAATCAAAGGATGTGGGTTCAAATTTAACTCTGTGAATAGCTTTATCTGATCATAGGTTTAGGGGCCATAAGGTGTCACAGTGGATAGAGAAGTGCCCTGGAGTCAGGAAGACTCATCTTCTTGAGTTCAAATCTGGCCTCAGACACATATGACTTTGGACAAGTCACTTAACCCTGTTTGCCTCAGTTTCCTCATTTGTAAAATGAGCTAGAGAAGGAAATGGCTAACTCTCCAGTATCTTTGTCAAGAAAACCCCAAATGGAGTCACAAAGAGTCGGACACCACTGAACAACCATGAAGATCATAGATTTAGGGCTGGAAGAGACAATAGAGGGCCTCTGGTCTCATTTTACCAATGAGGAAACTGAGGCTCAGTGAAGTTGTGACTTGCCTGGGGTCACCTTGTGAACTTGACAAGACACTTCATCTCTCTGGGACTTGGTTTCCTCGTCTGTAAAATGAGGCGGAACTAAGTCCGTATAAGATTCCTTCCTGCTCTAAATTTATTGGTTGTCCCCTCATGTTCTCAGCAGGACTGGGGGCAATCTGTGCCCCTGGGAAGGAAGTCACAAGAATGGAGCACCTTGACTCTTACAGAGTCCTTGAGAGTTGGTTTATACCACACAATTAATCACTTAAATAGATAATGCCTTTGAAAAAGCTCATCCACCCCCTCCCTCCATTTTACAGAAAACTGGGGCCTAGAAAGGGGAATAAACAACCCACCCAAAGTAACACAACTAGTTGTCCAGCTCAAAATCCAGTGCTGTTTTCAACTCTTAGTTCCCTTTTTTTAAAACAATGCAATGCACTTCTTAAAGGCAAGGACTCTATCTTCAACACTAACTCATGTTTGTTGAATTGGAAGTTTTTGAAAAGCTCTCTGTACACGGAAGAGAGATTAGACTGGTTCTGCTTGACCCCAAAGGGCATATCTATGAGATAAGAGAAGTTCTGGGATACAGATTCCAGCCCAATGTGAGTAGGAACTTTCTAATGATCAGAGCAAACTCTCAATCTCTAGAAATTGTGCTAGTATAGACAATGGATAGATAAATAGACAATATGTGGGTAGATAAGAGAGAGAGAGAGAGAGAGAGAGAGAGAGAGAGAGAGAGAGAGAGAGAGAGAAGAAGAAGAAGAAGAAGAAGAAGAAGAAGAAGAAGAAGAAGAAGAGAGATATGAAAGACAGAGATGATAGAGAGGTAGAGAGATAGATAGATAGATAATATAGACAGTCAGAGAGGCTGTAATAAAAGCAATTCATTGGTAGGAAGGGGCATTGATCTAGATGACTTCTGAGGTCCCTTCCAGCTCTAAGATCCTATAATTCTTTTCTGAGATTCACTGGTGTTCTGACTCCATGGGTATTTGTACTTGGCCAAGAGAGGTGAGTTTCATTCCCCAACATTAAGAAGGATGATTCTTTAGTAACCCTGCTATGTACCTTCTCTCCTTGGCATCTCTTGGCCTCGGTTTCACAAAAGCTATTCCAGGTTCAAGCATAAGCGTTGAAAATTGGTTCGGGGCCCTAGAGAAATGGCCAACAGTAAGATGGAACCCCTCATAGCTGGACAATGTGGCAATTAGTATTGGTGACTCACAGATATAGACCAGGGGTGGTCGGGCAAGGGTGGAGAAGGGTCTTAAACTTTACCTTTCTCCAATAGGTCACAATAGGTTCATTGATCACAAGGATTTTAAAGGGCATCTAGTTTCATTTTATCAGTAAAGGAATTGAGGTTAAGAGAGGTTGTGACTCACTCAGGGTCATGGAGCTGATGAATGTCAGAGGCAGGATTTGAAGTCAGGTCCTCTCAACTCCCAGTCCAGCACTCCACCCAGTAGGACAAGGCTAGACTAGAAAGCAGAATGACAGATTTTTTTTTTTAAAGGATCCCTACACTGGGTCTCAGGAGATTTGGGTTGTAGTCTCAGTTTTGCAACTGACTTACTTACTATGTGACTTTGGATATATGTTTTTAGGCCTCAGCTATAAAATAGGGTTTCTAATCTTTGCTTTATATCACAAGGGTATTGTGAGGTTCAAATGATATCACATGTATATATGTGTGTATGTGTGTATGTGTATATATAGTATGTGTGTATGTATATGTATGTATGTAGGTGTGTATGTATAGATGTGTACACACACGTGTGTGTGTGTATGTATGTGTGTATATATATATATGAATAATATGTCCATGGAATCACAGAAAAATAGGGTCTCAGAGCTGCAAGAGCCCTAAGACAACCCCTCCTTAAATAGGAATCCCCTCTATGATATCCCCAACAAGTAGCCATCCAGTTTCATGTGAATACCTCAAGTGACAGGGAAATCACTACTTTCTGAAGCAGTTTATGCCGTTTTGAAATAGATCTAACTGCTAGGAAATTTTTTGAGTTTTTTGTTTATTTGCTTTTGGAGGCAATTGGGGTTAAGTGACCTACCCAGGGTCACACAGCTAGTAACTGTCTGAGGCCAGATTTGAACTTGGGTCCTCCTGACTCCGGGGCTGGTGCTTCACCCACAGCACCACCCAGCCACCCCTTTGCTGGAAAATTTGTACCTTCTCTTTAGCTGAGATCCACTAGGTATTTCTCTATTACCCTCCTCTAAAGCCCTACTGAAATGGCTCATACCAAAGAGAAGCAGCAGGTGATGCAGCGAATAGAGCACAGGACGTGAAGCCAGGAAGACCTGAGTTCAAATGTGACCTCAGAACTATTTGTTTGACTCTGGGTAAGTCACAAACTCCGTCTGCCTCAGTTTCCTTAATTGTAAAATAAGGATGACAATAATAGCACATACCTCACTGGGTATTGTACCAGATGAGATAATATTTGTAAACATTTAGCACAGTGCCTGCCACGTAGTAGGTGCCAAATAAATGCTTATCCCCTTATTTTCTTTCATTGTGGTGTGGAAATCATCCTGGGATTTGGAAGACTATACAAGCCAAGAGCTGTATCTGCCATCCAGTCTAGAGAAAGGAAGAAAGGCTCATCCTCAAGGTGGAGGCAGGGTGGTGAATTCGTGCTACTCTTGGAGACTACTTCCTAGGGCTTGCCGGGAAGGATTGGGCTCAGCATTGGTGGAAGGTGCAGCCTCTCTCTCAGATATTCTGTGCCTCCTAGACATGGATGCCCCTTGCCACAGCACATATTGCAGCCCATCCATTCCTGCCCATTCGGCTCTACTCCCATCCATGTCCTCCTACAAGTTCGCCAGAGGGAGGCCATAGGGTCTTCGATCTGGGGCAGGAAAGAACCTCAAAGGTCACTTAGTCCAATCCCCTAATTTTGCAGATTAGAGGTTAAATAAAATGTTTGTGGTTGTGCAGGTAGTAAGTATCAGAAACAGGATCTGAATGCAGATCACCTGGCTTCAGAGTCGCTTGTGCTCTGTTGCCTGGGGGCCTTGGTCACACACAGCTGTCCATTCAGTCTTACCTCTTAGCCAGCTCATCTTGTTTTTCTGCTCATACAGTTCCCTAGTGACATCTTTCACCTCAGCCTTTCTTCACAGTTCATTATAGAGTCAGGAAGTAGCCACTGTGACAAAAATATGTATATTTTTTGCTTTAGTCTTTTGTTTTTGTGAGGCAGTCAGGGTTAAGTGACTCACCCAGGGTCACATAGCTAATGAATATCAGGTGTTAGAGGCTGGATTTGAACTCAGGTCCTCCTGATTCTAGGGCCAATGCTTTATTGACTGTGCCACCTAGCTGCCCCAAGAATAGATTCTTGAAGAACTGAAATATAGATCTGTACTTGGGGGTTGCATGAACATTGTCAACTTCTGTCCACCTTTCCAGTCTTCTTCTACCTTCTACCCCACCATGTAGTCTAGAATCTAGTGACTCTGACCTCCTTGCTGTTCCTTAAACAAGACACTCCATCTTCTGACTGGGCATTTTTTTTGGCTGTAGCCCATGCCTCAAATGCTCTCCTTTCTCATCTCTGCCTTCCAGCTAAAATCCTACCTCCTTCAAGGAAGCCTTTCCTGAGCCCCCTTAATTCTAGTGTCTTCACTCTACTGGTCATTTCTCATTTATCTTGGCTATATCTTGGACACAGCATTGTTTGTTTGTTGCAACTGGTGTTGTTGTTCATACTGTTGCTGTGTTTAGCTCTGGGTTGGAGCTGTTCATCCTTCATTCTGGAAGAGGATCAATGACATCATGAAGGTGACCTCTTGACTTGAAGGTGAATTGGATTTAAGTGAGGCAAAACCATGCAAGGTCATCAGCCTCACTGTCTCCTCCAAAGTCATCGTAGCCCAGTGTCAAGACATGGGTCAGGATGACTGGCGACGGCCCCTGTACACAATGATTTGTATGTTGTCTCCCCCACCCACCTACCCCATTAGACTGTGAGTGCCTCGAGGGCAGGGGCTATCTTTTGCCTTTCTTTGTATCCCTAGCACAGAGCACAGTGTCTGGCACAGAATAAGCACCTAATAAATGTTTGTTCGTTATTGCCGCGGAGGATGAGGGAGCATACCTGAGCCAAAGATGAATGAATCCAGCTGGGTTGGGAACAGAGGAAATCCTACAGCTTTGGTCAACTCTTCTATCAGAGTCACTGCTTGGGTCTAAAAAAACAGTATGATGTTACATAGAAAGTTCACTAAACTTGGAATCAAAAAAACTGGGCTCAGATCCCAGCTCAGACACTCACCAGCTCTGAAGGAACCCTGGCCAAGTCAATTCAGCTTGCTAAGCCTCAGTTTCTTTACCTATAAAATGAGGATAATAATCTTTGCATCACCAGCCTTACAGGATTATTGTGACAAAAAAAAACCACTCTGTAAACTCAAAGTACCTTGGAAATGTGAAATATTATTATTAGAAAATCAAATTCACGACACCCCACAGTCAGCCAGGAATGAGGCACGCCTGGAGTGTCTGGAACTCAAAATAGGTTTTCTCAGAATAGCCCCCTGTGTAAAACAGGACGTGGATATTTTTATCAGGGAGACATTCGTGGGAGGGGAACTGGCAAAAAAGGGAAGCAAATTCCTTTCGGCAAAGAATGAGAGGTGATCTATTGCACTGGTGAAAATGGGATCTAGGGCTAGAGTCTCATGGGCTTTACCACCCTTTATATCAGAGGATTCTCTAAAGAAATGGGCTCCAGTCATGAAGGAGCTGGACCAAACTGTAATGCAATGCAACAATCTCTTTTTTTTAAGCATCTACTGCTTTGGGCACTGTGTTGTATGCTAAGAGGAGAAATAAATTCAGATGAAAGTACAATCCTTGTCATCAGTGAAATTACAATCTAATGGAGAAATAACACAAACACTGATAACTATAATGCACAAAAATATTTCAGCAGTGCATTAAAATAATGTTCTCCAAACTTTTTTTGATAATTCACCTCATCAGTAAAACATTTTTGAGCATAGACCCCCAAGCATGCACATACATTCTTACTTATAAATTTTATATATATATATACATATGTGTATATATATATATATATATATACACTACAGTATTAATAATTATGTACATCATAAAACTTATGTAAAAATAGACATTTTTAAAAATAAGCCAAAGATGAAACACTATTTTAGACTGGAGCCAATAGGGAACAGCTGGAATCTCTTGAGTAGGGGAGCAACGAGGTCAGAATTGTACTTTAGACAAATTACTTTGGCAGCTGCGTGGAGAACGGATTGGAGAGGGGAAAGACTTGAGGCAGTTAGAGCAATTAGGAGACCATTGCAATAGTTCAAGTAAGAAATGGTGTGGACTTACACCAGGGTGGTAGTTGTGCAAGTGAAGAAGTGACGAATTTGAGAAATGTAGTCAAGGTAGAATCACTTCTCCTTTAGTTGTTTCAATCATGCCTGACTCTTTGTGACCCCATTTAAGATTTTCTTGTTGAAGATGCCAAAGTAGTTTGCCATTGCCTTCTCTAGTCCTTTTTGAAAATGAGGAAACTGAGGCAAACAGGATTCAGTGACTTGCCTATGGTCACAGCTAGTACGTGTCTGAGGCTGGATTTGAACTCATGAAGATGAAGTCTTCTGGCTCCAGGCCTGGCCCTCTATCTGCTGTGCCACCTAGCTGCCCCTATTTGTTGAGGTAATTGAGGTAGAAGCTTCAATATGTGGGACAGAACAGAGTGAGGAATCAGGAATGAATTACACTGACATGACGGACCTATGGAACTGGAAAAATGGTACTTCTGTATGTCTTCTATAAAAACAGAAAGTTCAGAGGTGGGAGTAGGTTTTGAGGGGAAAGATAATGTGATAAGAATTGAGATTCAGGTCGCACTCCATGCCTGTCTGCCCATCCTGTGAGACTCATGCTATCCCAACCAAAAGGGAAAGGAAACAGAAAAGCATCTATCAAATGTCTACTCTGTGCCAGGTACTATGCTAAGTACTTCACAAATATTACTTCATTTGATTCTCACAAAGGCCCTAAGAGGTAGGTGCTATTATTATCCCCTATGGGGATAACAGAGGCATGCAGAGGTGAAATGACTTGGCCAAGATCACACAGCTAGTAAGTCCAGATTTGAACTCAGGTCTTCCTAACTCCAAGCCCGGTACTCTATTCACTGCACTACTAGCTGCCTTGTCTAAGGATAAGATCTACTATTTCATTGGTACGGAGAACTTCCAGATGAGGACATTTCTTCAACCAACCCAAGCAGATGCCTATTCCACAGTTGATAGTCTCCCAGGGTTTCCTGGAACACTGAACCATTTAGTGACTTATTTAGGGTCACATGGAAAGCCTTGCATATGCCAGAGGCAGGATGTGAACCCAGGTCTTCCTGGTTCTGAGACAAGATCTCAGAACATTATAACGTATTGCTTCTCTGGCACTACCTCACTGAGCTGTTGTGAGAAAAGTGCTTTATAAGCCCCCAAAGCATGTAGAAAGGTAAATTCTTGTTAATTCTTTTCATTGGGCCCATATCACAGTTTGTCCCTTTTTGCCTTTGTTTGTGTAATAGGTCACTCAAAATCCATCAGCATAGTATTATTCTCATTGATTAAAGATTGACTACTCAAGGCTCTATACCTGTATGCAAGGTGAAGTTGATGAGAGCTACAGAGAAGAGAGATCCTGGTCTTCTGACTTCCAGCTCCAAGAGAGATGACGTGATTTCAGACTCTCTTCAGATTCCTGAAGGGAGAGAAAGACCATGGGAAGAAGCCAACATGTATGGGAGCTGGCATCTTGGTTATGTTCCCACCTCTACCTTACTACACTAGATACTTTGGGAAATTCCTTGTTGTTGAGATCTAGAATGCCGTCTTTTGGTGGAGCTGAGCTATCTCACTCCCAATGGGAGACCTCATTTATTCTTCATATTGTCTGGCATGCATTCTCCTGTATTTATTTTCTCTGATTCCTTTTGTGGTATCGACTTGAGTAAAGGAGTTAATGGAACTGGCATTTGGTGGGAAGAGTGTCGAACCTTGGACATATAACTTAGGCACACTTTCCCCATTAACAGACAGTGATCAAGAGCACAGATTGAACCTAAAGATTATCTCGCTTAGACTAATGATATTTAAGAGGGGAATTAGATTTCATTCTAGCCCAGTACACTCTCTTTCTGAGGAGAGCAGAGTGGCCAGCCTCTGGCTGAACCTCCTATTTCTCCCCTGGCAAAGTTCCCCTCATTTTATGGATGAGAAAACTGAGGCCCAAAGAAGTTAAGTAATTTTTTTCAAGTTCATGCAGGCAATAAAGCATCAAAAGCGGTATCTGAACCCAGGTCCCCTGACTCTAGAACCTATGTTCTTTCCAGTGTACCAAGCTGCTTCCTTAATTGAAGAGAGTGTGTGTGTGTGTGTGTGTGTGTGTGTGTGTGTGTGTGTGTATAACTGGTACTATTTTGACCCAACATCCCCAACTGTCTCACTGATCAAGACAAATCAAGTCAATAAGCAATTTATTAAGCACCTACTATGTACCAGGTACTATGCCAAGGATTATTGGTGGGAGACAAGTAAGTGTTTGTATAAGGGCCAATGGAAGGAGTGATAGGCTTAAAATTAGAAAGACCTGGGATTGAGCCTGCTTGTCGCTTATTAGCTCTCTGACTATGAAGAAGACTCATAGAAAGTAGGACAAGAGAGACCTTAGGAATTATGAAAGGGAATCAACGGACCAGGGCTCAATTCAAGTTTTGATATCAACTAGCTGTGTGACTTTGGGCAAGTCACTGCCCCTCTCTTGACTTCTTTTCTCCAACTGGAAAATGCATGCATGTGAAATGAATGAAAGAAATTGAACTAGATGATTTCTAAGGCTCTTTCCAACTCTTATAGTCTACAAATCTACCTTCTTGTCCCCCTTATTTACAGATGAGGAAACTGAGGCCCAAAATGTTAAATGATTTATCCAAGGTCACACAGCTAATCATTTCCTTACCTACAAAGTGAGGGATTTAGAGAGTACATGTGGGGTTCTTAACCTGGGGTCCACAGACCTCCAAAGTTTCCATGGATAAATTTCAAGGGATTCATGAATTTATTTATTTTAGTATTTTGATAGCTGCGTTTCAATAGAATTCATCTTCTTTGTAATCCTATGCATTTTATTTTAAGCATTTAACAACATTCTTCCATGAAGGGAGCCATAGGCTTTAGCAGATGGCCAAAAGGGTCCAAGGATTAAGATAAGGGTGCTTCTCTCTATGGACTCCATGATCCAATGAGTGACAATGAATGGATTCCAACACAGATCTCTTGACTCTTGGTTCTCTATTCCTCTATGATACCATCGTGTCACCTCTCCTCTTCCCTAATCCATAAAATAGGAATTACAATGACCTATTCCTGTTTTGTAAACTGTAAAAGGTGAAAGACTCTAAGGGCTTATTTCCCAATCATCATTGGGGGTGGCTGAGTCCTGTCCCTGGCTCTTCCCGAGTCTACCTAGGCAGAGCCAGCTGTGGGGCAACATCGAGGTGAAGGGTGGGTGGGCAATGCAGAGTGCCTCCAGGCAGAGGGCACTAGACCATACTTTAATTAACAGCACCAGAGGTGATCTCTCTCCACAGGTCTGTTTCCTTGCTGCATAAAACATGAACCCGCCATGGGGAGTGATTGCCGACCAGCCTGTCAAGGAAGTGTAGGGAGGCCGGGGGAGGCCCGCCCTCACTCAAGCACCCATCTGTAATCCCAGGGCAAATTTCTCTGCCAGCATTTTATCTCCCTGGCTTGAGGGGAGCGAGGAATACTTGACTGTTTGTAAACTAATAACTTTCCAAGACACAAGGAATATCAAATGTCTCCAAGATCTTTCATTTCCTTAATCAATCCCCCAGCCTTGTAAGTACCCCCTCCTTCCACCCCCACCACCTCCACCCCCCAGCCAATATCCTTTCAATAATGGCTAACCTTACTCGGTCACTGCACGATATATGATTTATTAGTTGTCAGGCTAAAGCGCACCCAGTCTGGGACAAGCATTCCCAGCAACGGCTGTCTGTTTCCATATGGCATGTTCCTGTTTCTATTACAGTAGCTTATTGAAAGTGGAGCTGGGTTCTGCTTTTAGCTTTGAGGGACAAGCAGAGGGGGCTTCT